ATATATATATATATATTATATATATATATATATATATATATATATATATATATATATATATATATATATATATATATATATATATATATATACGGCAACTATATGCGGCATTTACTCCGCTCAATATAATAAAAGAAGATGTTGATATGAACTATATAACTGGATCCTTTCCATTGAGCGGAGTAAATGCCGCATATAGTTGCCGTATATATATATATATATATATATATATATATATATATATATATATATATATATATATATATATATATATATATATATATATATATATATATATATATATATATATATACGGCAACTATATGCGGCATTTACTCCGCTCAATATAATAAAAGAAGATGTTGATATGAACTATATAACTGGATCCTTTCCATAATTAATTAAAAGACTCAACCTCGTTAAGAAAGCTGCGTGCATCTGCTTTCTTTCTCATGTTCTCTCACATTATTGACATCCCAGGCATCTTATAAATATCACTACATAGAATGTACACTTATGGTTATATGACTTTGCCCTAGTAGTTGCAGGTAATCACAACTGTCCGAGAACATATGAAATTTTCTATAAAGCTAGTTTGAATAATTTTTACAAAAAAGTATACCAATTTATTTCCTGTCAAGTGTCAATTACAATATTTTATTAAGCAATTTTGCAGTAAAAGATTGATTTGAATTGAATTTGTAGATGAGAATTTCGAGTGTGAATTAATTTTGTACATTTATTAGACCTGAGTCCGTCAATCCAACTATGCATATCGAATGAATCGAAATGCGGTGCTTTTCTCGGCTCCCTTTGAAGTTTTCTTAGCAGTAGGGCAGATATAACGCGCAACAGAAGCACTGCATGTTATTTGGCTATATGTTTCCCGAAACAGGTGCAACAAACGGGCCTAGCTTGGGAAACAAAATCTTCTTCAAATATTTATAATTACTTCTTTCCCCCATTGTTGTGGAAACGGGAAAACATTTGACGACATATCGAAACTTTTATGCAGTTAAAGTAATTCCGCAGTAATTGCTCCCGAAATGAGAATGTGCTGAAACTTCCAAGGCATGGAGTTTAGGATATACTTAAAGTAAAATCGTACAAGAAGATATGAACAATCACAATATACCACCTTTACCCCAATATGGCGCCATCTTGACGCTCATTACGAGTAACAGCAAAATTACAACAGCCCGATATTTATTGACGTTTTTAGCGCGGATTTTGCTTTAGTAAACCTATCTTGTAATTATTTTTGAAAAAATAGTGTGTTTTGAGCAAAATGAAACTACTAACGTGTACAATTCTAATCCACAGATGTCTTTTCCACATTTCTTTACATATCTTTCTTTGAGAATATGCATTGATAAAGGATTTTTGTTCAAGATCCAGAAATGATTTTTCTTTTAATTTCGGATATGAAATGTAAAATGCATTAAAGAAATAAATTATCAGTTAAAAAACGGGGGTCACCGATCTTTTTAGGGAATTGTGGCATTAAAACGTGAAATGCAAGTAAATATATATACTACAGACACAGGGAATCCTAGCTACACTTTTGTATGCCTTTTTTGAAAACATTGATTTTAACGTAATTCTTTGCACGAATGTAACCAAAAATGTTTTCAAGTAACATAAAATTGTCATAAAATGATTTTTTTTAAACGGTACGTATAATGGATGAAATTATAAGTTATAAGATATGCGCAGTAAAAATGCGCAATGCAAAACTGCGGAATTACCTTAAGGGTTTTGTTTGACACAAAGAACGGACGCTATAGTATACAATAAATGACGACTTTGGTGCAGTAAGTGCAAAAACGAAATTAAAGGTTGTTCAGGCCGACTCACGGATGAGATTATAAGGAAGTGCAAACACACCGTGCGAAATTTGCCATTTGTCGTGTTCCTTTTGCCAAATAAGAAGAACGAACGCGTGCTCTAGTTCGATTCTCAGGCAAACAGTACGCGCAAATCAGGCTGGTCAGTTCTCATTGTTTAACTGCCCCACACTCACAGATGTTGCTTCGCAATGACTCACAAATGTTGCTTCGCAACATCCGTGAGTCAAAAAGGAGAAACACTAGTCATCTTGCTTTTGCATCGTAGAACGGAACGTACTTTTGGCTTTGCACTGATCGGAAATTTACCCCAGTTCCCAAAAATATACTCGGTACCGACGTGGGCCGCTATATTTTCATAAAAAATTGCATGGGATCAAAATTTCTTCTAGGCTGTTGGCAGCCTTACGCCTTACGCTCACTCACACTATGGATATCTTATATACACTAGATAGCGCATCTCTTGTAGTAAAATTGAAGCCAAGAATATTCCAGCGGTTACCCCCATTTGAATAGATGGCGGTCATGTTGGAGTTTCCCACTCGCTAATAAACGCTTAAAAAACAACAATAACGTTCATCATTTGAATAGTTTGAAAATGTATTTGGAATAGGTTTAACTTAATGTTTAAGTTCCTTGTTTAAGAAATAGAAAACATACGAGTCTTCTCATTTCATGGGAATATCCTGAGTCTGCAATCACGGCAGATCCACTGTATATAAGATATCTATGACTCACACTCAATGAGTGGACGTTCTGTCGTTCATTCTCAATGTGTGCAACTCATCACTCAATGAGTGTCCACTCACACTGACATAGTAGAATAATGCGGCACTCACGCTCCAACTATTCAAAGACACCACTCAGGCACTCACACTCAAGTGAAGCTCAGATGTGCGTAAAGTGTGAGTGAGAGGTATACGTCCCTTGATCCGAATTTTACTTAATCATAAGTAACATAGGTTAAATAGGTTAGAATGTGTGAATAATATTGTCCCAAACAACAGAAATAGACGGAAGCCATATCTCTTTGATTACGGTAAATATGAGGAAGAGCAATTCCGGAACCGAGATACCGATTGACTAATGTAGCATTTCGCGAGTTACTGGAAATAATCAGGCCAAATATAGCTGCACACAACGACAGAGGAAAACCCATACCAGCTGATATTCAACTGTTGAACGCCACAGTATTACGCCACGGGAACATTCCAGCTTGTATGTGGAAACCGGTGGCTGTGTGAAATTTTGCAGCCATCAGCAATTCAGTTATTATAAAACGTGTTTCCGAGGCAATCGCACGCTTAAAGAATATTTATATTACATTTCCTAATGGTGACATGCTGCAGCAACTCAAACGTTTTAGTTATGGAGAATTTGTGCATTTCCCAGTGTTGTGGGTACAATTGACGTGGGTACAATTGATTGTACACATATCAAAATACAATGCCCTGGGGGCGAGACTGCTGAACTCTTTCGAAATCGCAAAGGATATTTTTCAATAAACATTCAAGCTGTTTGCGGACCAAATTTAGAAATTTTAAACATTGTTGCTCGATGGACTGTTGGTAGCATCCATGCATGACGCCAGAATTTTCGATAACAGTCGATCATGTGCACACTTGGTGATAGTGGTTACCCATGCCGCCAATATCTCATGACGCCAATACATGGAGAGGATGTTTGGCACATGGAAGAGGTTGTTTCCACGCTTATCAATGACCATTCGTACAAAGCTGCAAACGACGCTAACTATCATTGTCGCTACAGCTGTGTTGTATAACTTTATAAGAAGTCAAATGACCCTATTGATGAATCAGAACATTTTCCGTTTGCCGAGGACGAAGAAAATTATATTCATGGTGGTCAACGGCTTTTGGGAAATACTGTTCGAAAAGCGCTGATGATGCAACATTTCACCTAAGTTATGATTATAAGTATTCAATTTAATATCACAATAACTATTTTATGTATATTCTCATATTAAACAACTTTATATTGACAAGAACATGCAAAATAAATTACACGCATATATTCATTGTGTGTGTTATTGACAGAGGTTATGAATGTGATTAGTTTTGCTTCCTATAGCGCGTGTGTTTGGTCTCGGGTGTCGCTCCTGTTTTTTATGGATTCATTAGTTCATTGTTTCCAATATTCAAGGTCCGCGTCCAGCACTTCCATTTTCCTTTTGACCAGGAGCTCCATTTCCGCGTCATCGGCTGTTGGGTTTGTAAATCTAAACATCGTGGTTGGGCATCGGATATTTGTGATTTCCTGGTTAACGACGACGATAAGGCAGCCTCGACGACAGATGGCTGGAATTCGCGTTCGTTTGGTGTACTGACTGTAGTTAGCACCAATGACTCATCTTCATCAGCGTCGATTTCTATACAATAACCACGTCATCAAATAATTCACGTATTGATTTACCATGACTTGTGTTGATGTTCGGAATAGGCAAACTATTAAATAGTATTTTGCAATTAGCATTGTCTTACCTTTTTCAAAATTATCGTCATCAAAAGGGTTATTCAGGCTGTCAATCTGACCTGGAATAATCGAAGAAACAGCAGCAGCTTCGTCGTCTTGTTTGGATGATGATGGACTACCACCACTAGTTAATTTACTTTCTCTCTTCTCTTTTGCAAGTTGTTTCTTATAACACGGGACTTTATATTCTCCCAACACTTTTTTAATTGCCGAGCATCTCTCTTAGACACACCAGACTGGGAATTAAATTCTTCTGAGAGAGCTTCCCCCACTCTGTTTTTTTTGTTCACTCTCTAAAGTTATTACTGTTCCGAATGTCTTCGGGAAGATCGTTGCACACCCGAGCAGCCTCGCCTTGAAAGGTACCAGAGACACGTGGAACGACCAAGCGACGGGAAGACGATGAACGCAGGGGTCTTGAAGACTCATACTCGTCAAGTTTTAGGTACGAGGGCCAGTCGCTGGAATGAATGGCTTTAAAGACTAGTTTGGCTAAATGATAGGCCTTACGTTCCACAACAGGAAGTCAACCAAGAGAGAGGATGTCACTCATGTTGGCATATTTCCGCTATACAAAACCTGCAACAGCCAACTGCATTCGTTGTAAACGTTTTAGTAAGTAATCGGGAACTGGATTACACACAACATCGTTATAATCCAATTTTGACAAAACTAGACTATCTGCAAGTTGTTTCCTAATATTATATGGTGCTAAATATTTCAGCTTTCTCAGAACCGATAATATGGCGTAACACCCTGAAATCTTCCTATTTACGATTTACGAAGATATGGTCGAAAAAGTCTGTGACCAACCTACCCTGTGGATATTGCCAATTGTGTGTGTACCCCAAAAAAGAACGGTGGAACACGAATCTGTGTTGACATGAGAGCAGCCAACCAAGAGATTAAGCGCGAAAGACACATTATGCCAACGCATTCTGATTTCCGTGCAGAAATGAATGGATCAAAATATTTTTCAAAAATTGATCTCAAACAGGCGTTCCATCAACTGGAATTGAAAGAAAAAAGTCGGTAAATAACTACATTCTCGACGCACGAAGGCCTATTTCGTTACAAACGACTGAACTAGTATAACCAACTAAACTTTGTATATAGTCTTTGATAATTGTTTAAACTTATATTTGTAACCTTCATTATTACTGCATGCATGTAACTGTAAATAATTTCTGAAAAACCCTTTTAGGGAGAAATTTATTAAATATCTATCTAACTACGGAACGAGCAGTGCGCCAGAACTTTTTCAGAATATTTTGCAACAAAATCTTAGTGACATTCGTGGAGTAAAGAATATTGCAGATGACATCATTGTTCACGGGAAAACGTGAAAGCAATATGACGAATCATTAAAGAACTGTTTGAAACGACTAGCTCAACTCAATTTTAAAGCGAAACCTGAGAAGTGTAGTTTCCTGCGCAACGAGATTAATTTCTACCGTTTAATTTTTATGGAAAATGGACCAGATCCAGCAAGAATTGACAACTTAGTCAGAGTCAGCGCTCCAAAGAATGCCAGCGAAGTACGTAGTTTTTGTGTTTGGCGAACACGTGTCGTGAGTATGTTCCAGAGTACGCCGTAATTACTACACCATTGCGGGATCTCACCAAGGAAAGTGTTGCTTTCACTTGGAACCACACCCACCAAAGAGCCTTTGAGCAGATTAAAAAGAAACTGGCACACGCCCCTACCATTGCATACTTTGATACCGAGAAGAGAAGCTTGCTTATTGTTGATGGATCCCCTCTCGGAATTTGTGCTATTTTAGCACAACGTGAGAAGTCAGGAGAGTCCTATCGCATTATCTCCTACGCCAGCAGAGCCCTGTCTCCAGTCGAAAGTCGATATTCACCGACTGATATCGAAGGGTCGAGCCTAGTGTGGAGGAAAGAACATTTCCGACTGTTCCTTCTGAGTACTGAATTCGATGTTTATACTGACCACAAAGCTCTGGAAGCAATCTTCAATAATCCAAGATCAAAACCCCCAGCTCGTATTGAACGCTGGATGCTACGACTGCAACCGTATAACTTCCGTGTGATTTACAAGAAAGGAACAGTTAATGAAGCCGATTACCTGAGTCGTCATCCTACCACCACTCAACGAAAAACCACAATCGAAGAAAAGATTGCAGATAATTATGTGAACTACATCATTAACAATGCTGTACCTAAGTCAATGACACTTCAAGAAATCAAGGAAGCCACCTTTTCAGTGAAGCCGTTAGGAAAAGTGATAAAAACTTCCATGTTAGAGGGACGAATTGGAGACAAGAACTTCAAAGATTTCTATTAAATTACCGCTCAACACCGCATGCCACTACAAAGATACCTCCATGTCAACTACTATTTAACCGAAAGGTGCATGGAAGTTTACCCGGGCTGTCAACACAAAAGGTCGTAAAGAAGCACCAAAAGGCCAAGAAAAACATTGATAAGAAGAAGATCAGTAATAAGCAGTACTACGATGCCAAGAAAAACACCAAGACATCCAAGATCAAGGAAGGGAACATTGTTATTTGTAAACAGAAATCAAACAACAAGTTATCTCCAAGATTCAATCCCGAGCGATTTACGATCGTGGAGAGGAAAGGCGCAACAGCTACGGCGCTAAATGGCAGACGTACCATCACACGTAATGTGACTCATTTCAAGTAGTTAAACCTGTAGACGAACAAAGTAGTGATGAAGAGAAGTCAACTACCGTGGAAGATGTACAGGACAACAGGGTCGGAGATGATATGCAGGACTTTATAGAAGAAAGTCACCCGATATCAAGAAGATCAACGAGAAATCAACGACCTGTAAATAGATTTGGTCACTCAATACCATCGGGATTTATTTCATAGAACTTTAGTATGATATGAACAATAACGAACAAATCATAGTTATTCCGTTGAGTTTTGTTAAAAAAAAAGAAGAGAACAATGTAGTGATTGACAGTTATACATAATTTATAGAATAAATTATAATGCGCGGGAAAATAAGAACACATGTAATTTGGGCGCGAAGGAGAAAACATTGAGTTTGTGTGTAGTAAGTAAAGGAAAATATATAGCTATAAAGATTGTTTGATTACTACAGCTATCAACTATAACAAGTTGCTGCAAGGTTTGCTCTCAAAGGCGTTCTGAATTTTACATTGAAGTAGTAAAGACAATAGTCTGTAATTCGTTTACTTATGATGAGTCATTCGTTTGTGGGTCATTCTTTTATAATTAATCATCTATAAAAAAGATGATTTCGAAAATTCACTACTTTTATTAAGTTATCGTATGGTATGGTATGTATAATCATACACAAGGCCATTGGCCAGAATTGCTGAGATGGAATTTTAACTACAAACTATAGCTTTTGTCACTGAAGGACTTTTTTCGGCCATGCAAATGATCGGTGAGTGATCTGCTCAAACTCGTCTTCCAATGTTTTGTCGGAAGAATAAATTATGAAATTTTCGCATGTCATGATGCACACTGTAAAATTTTGTGGGTATATGTCAGAGTACATTTTACGGCCAGGATGCCAAATGTTGTTTTGGAAAAATGTCCTGGATTTTATGGCGGCCAAATGTATATCAGTAAACTATTCTGTTGGCCAAACATCTGTCCGGTAAGATTTTTTTTGACCATATGTCGGTCACTGCTGCCATCCAGATGTGTGTGACAACATTCTTCCAGTTAAATTTTATGTCGGCCAACATTCCTGTCAATAACACTGCCGGCCAAAACTGCTGTCGATAAAATGTCATTTTAATTAACAAAATATGTACTCCGGCAAAACGTACGCCCTGTTCTAAAATATCTGCTAGTAAAACGTCTGTCAGACTACATGCATGACGTCTGTCGACAAGGGTAAATACTGATCCAAACTTTTTTAAATTTTACCTAGGTAGAGATATGAACGATTCTACCATTGTTTCAAGCACGTGGTCAACATCAATTCCAATCATGACCAAGAACATGTCTCTACAACAACATCAGTTTGAGATAACTCCGATATTTACCGCCACTACCGTGATATTGTTCTTTATGGTCATTGGAATCGTTCTTGGGAATGTCTTGGTTCTGGCAACAACCTGGCTGGATAAGCGCCTCCATCAACCAAACAAATACTTTATTGCCTGTCTTGCTGTCGCTGATCTCCTTGTAGGAGTTTTTAGTGTTCCTATTCGTCTGTACATGCAATTTGATCCTTTACAACTGTACCCAATTAAGCTTTGCCGTTTCTGGTTTTGGATGGACATCTTTTGTGAAGTAGCTTCTATTGTTACGTTAACTGTGATAAGTGTCGACCGTTATTTTAAAATCAGCAAGCCATTCAAGTATAGAGTTCGGATGGATACAACGGCGTCTGCAATCGTAATTGTGAATATTTGGCTTATTTCCGCAGTGTGTGCTACGTTTAGTTTGTTCTCGTTTGGTGGCAGCGATGCTGTAACGTCTGTGGTCGCTCGTGGATGTCTTAACGACAATAAGATTTATTACACCATCCTTTCTGTGGTTTTCTTCTTCGCTCCTTCGGTAATAGTTATCCTCATGTATGCTTTTATCTTTTACATCGCCCATCAAAGGCAGAAAATGAACAGAAGAGGTGAATTGGGACAGTCCTCTGCGGTTTCCAAAACTGATAAAAAGGGAAAAGAATTTCGTCAGGAGTTAAAGACAATACGGATGTTATCTCTAGTTGTATGCACCTTCATCTTTTGCTGGGGTCCTTCCTTTATTCTACTTTTGATTCAACTTTACAAAATAGAATATATTGTCTTGTTACCTCTAAAAGATTGGCAAATAATCGGTAGCCTATTCATTGTCATTCTTCCGTCCTTTAACAGTCTTTGCAATCCGCTAATCTATGCCTGTTTTGATCGCAAGTATAACAATGCTTTCAAACATCTACTTAAAAAATACATTTTATGCGCATTTCTATCAAGGCAAAATACGCGAACCAGCACAAGCTCAACCACTCGCAGAACATACCTCAGTAAAGAAAGTGGCCACAGTACTGGAAATTCATCCTCTTCTCGGCTAATGTTTGAACTGCAGGATAACCCGCGGGCATCAGACGGTCAGTGCGAAAAGTAACTAATCGCTTCAAAGTAAACGCTACCTTTGGACAAAGACAACAGCGGCAATCCATTCCAACATATTAATTTATCAAGTATTCTGAAATCAAGTGATTTATTAAGTGATGGTATTAAAAGGTGATTTATTAAGACAATCAGTTCGTCAAGAAATTATGAGTAGAAAATAATATTAATTAATGATTGAACCTGATATTTTACTGAACTTCCCTAAAAAGATTTTTAGGAACAATGGTTGTTAGTTAAAGACGATTGTCAAAAGATGAGACTGTTATTTATAAGTTCCAGTGTCTCTTTATCAAAATAATGTTTCCTTCAATTTATCTGAACTAGCTTTAAAATTCACTTAGATTTGGAGTTAACTTTGCGTTAGTGGCTATAAATCCTCATTTAAACCATTCTATGATCGTTTGTATTATTGTATTAATTATTTTATTGCATTACTTTAATACTGTATTGCTAATTTCTCGTACCACTTTCAAAGCATCATTACCTGTTCTTTTAAAAAATCGTATTGCTGTCCATCAAACCAAGAGAAACTATAAAAATACTTGACGAATTTACTACAAAGCAATGCGATGTTTCATATCCGAAATACTGTAATTGTCACTATTAAAATGTCTGGAAACAGACTATAGTTATCATCATTGCCAATGACTGCACGCTGACTCTCATCAAACCTTGTCCTCAAAGATCTTCCAGATTCCCCAATGTAAAGCACGCTACATATACTGTATGAGATACAGTACGTAGATGGGATGGGAGGAGTGCTGGTGGTAGCAGAATCTACATGTAGGTTTTACATTGGGCCACCCGACAAGGAAACATGCCATTCTGTGAAAACGAATCCCGCGCCTCTTGAAAACCAACCCCTTAAAACCGTCAGCTATATTTTTTGTGTTTCTTTTGTAATTGTTGTGATTTACATTTTTTGTTCACACTTTGTTTGACTAAATCCATTTGATTAGTTTATTTTTGTCATACTAGTATAAAAGCTTATGTAATTTTCCCGGACCTTGCTACTAACTTCCCGACGAAGGACCTTCCGCGCTCGACTGAAACGTCGAAGTTCTCCTTGTATATTTCAAGTACTTGTATCTCTATCAATCCGAAGCTTTCGTATTCCATTGAAAAGATCGTTTTTATTTGAGGGTTTGACTTCTTCCCTCAAAAACCTCTTCAATTCGTGCCACATGTTTTCAATGGGATTGAGGTCAGGTGATAAATCCAGTGATAAATTCTGCTATCTATGGCAGGAAAGCAGGAAATGCTTTGCAGCATGATATCCTAAATGTTGCACGAATACAATGTATTAGCGGCAAGTAACAATATACTGTACACTTTGATGAGAGCGTATCTACATCCACTACAGTGGACCAAGGGAATCTATCACGAAGCTAATTACACTTAATTACTCGTATGTTTTGGGTCATTGTCCTGTTGAAACCGATGTCAATGTGGGGATGTCTTGCGGTTGAATGGAAGCAAAGTACTTTTCAGAATTTCTTCTGTAAAAAATTCTTTGCGCACCATGTTTTCTGGTCCCCGTCCACGCATGTATTTTTTATTCAGCTCAGGAGGTTCGCCTAGACATGCAGAAAGAGAGGAAGTCTAAGCTTTATTAAATTAATGGTAAATAATGAAAATGCGACAGAAGAATAATTTTTACTAATCTTTCTAAATCATAATCTTCCTCGTAGTTCCAAACATAAATTGCTTTCATTCATAAATATAACGTTTTCGAACTTATCACCATTAGCATTAATGTGTTTGTAAAAATCGAAGTGTTCGACTCTGTTCTTCTCTCGAACCAGCTGACAGTATTTTGGCCCAGTGTTAACCCATCCAAGTTTTCTGCGGGCACGCTTTATTGTTGTTTCATTGAATCGCACGTTAGATTCATTAAACATTAGTTAATGCAAAACTACAACAGAAATAATTTCGCATGCAACTTAAAATTAGCTTAAAAACACGTTCGTCGATTCGAATTTCAATGCATGAAAAAAGTCAACATTCTCAATAAAAATTGTCATGATGGCATACTTACCTGTAGATGCATGTCAGTTTGTCGTTACTTTGCATTCTTTCGTCTGGTGAACCACTTCTAATTTTGACGGCCTGCTATACGAGGGGAACGTCAATCCAAACTTTAGAATGTTAGCGTTTGTAATCCAAGTGAGAATATATACATTTTAAGACCTAACCAGGAACGACTGCGAAAAATGCAACACTGGTCCTCTGGTAGGAATTGAACCTACGGCCCTGCGATTCCGGTGCAGCGCTCTAACCAACTGAGCTACAGAGGCCATGCAGCTGTTGAGCTGTAAAATGTATATATTCTTAAATGTATATATTCTCACTTGGATTACAAACCCTAACATTCTAATATTAATTCCACCAAGTGAAGTGCAAGAATCCAAATCATTGAAACTTACAATTAATTTAGTATTCATTGTACTATAACTGGTCAAAATGTGAGCTAAATTGCTTGGAAACACATTCCTCAATTTCAATTCATGTAATAACAAGCGTGTTTTGGAGCTCAGTTCTTGGGAAACTGAATGGAAACCTCTTGGCTCCGTGCTGCCCCCGCACTGTTTGGGTATAATGGGATTACCCAACTCTGCTGCCGTGACTCCGGCGCCATTGCGAAATTATCCTGGTTGTAAAGTCTAATTTTCATCATTATCATCATCATATAATCACCGTTATCATCTTTTAGATAGCGCTCTAACCAACTGAGCTACAGAGGCCAGCTGTTGAGCTGTAAAATGTATATATTCTTAAATGTATATATTCTCACTTGGATTACAAACCCTAACATTCTAATATTAATTCCACCAAGTGAAGTGCAAGAATCCAAATCATTGAAACTTACAATTAATTTAGTATTCATTGTACTATAACTGGTCAAAATGTGAGCTAAATTGCTTGGAAACACATTCCTCAATTTCAATTCATGTAATAACAAGCGTGTTTTGGAGCTCAGTTCTTGGGAAACTGAATGGAAACCTCTTGGCTCCGTGCTGCCCCCGCACTGTTTGGGTATAATGGGATTACCCAACTCTGCTGCCGTGACTCCGGCGCCATTGCGAAATTATCCTGGTTGTAAAGTCTAATTTTCATCATTATCATCATCATATAATCACCGTTATCATCTTTTAGATAGCGCTCTAACCAACTGAGCTACAGAGGCCAGCTGTTGAGCTGTAAAATGTATATATTCTTAAATGTATATATTCTCACTTGGATTACAAACCCTAACATTCTAATATTAATTCCACCAAGTGAAGTGCAAGAATCTAAGTCATTGAAGTTCACCTTATCACAACCCGCACACCCGATTACCTATATATATATATATATATATATATATATATATATATATATATATATATATATATATATATATATATATATATATATATATATATATATATACATGAAATTACGGTTACAGCACAACAGCTGGCCTCTGTAGCTCAGTTGGTTAGAGCACTGCACCGGAATCGCAGGGCCGTAGGTTCAATTCCTACCAGAGGGCCTTGTGCTGCATTTTTCGCAGTCGTTCCTGGTTAGGTCTTAAAATGTATTTATTTTTTTTGTAAATCAGCAGCGGGCGGAATCCTAGCGTTTTCTGCAATCTGATTGGCTGCAGCAGCGGGCGGAATTTTACAATATTTGACCACGGTCCGGAATCCTATACGTATAATGACCGAAGCAAAGCAAAAATGTTTTGTATATGTTTGTTTTAAAACTGAAAAATATGAATATGTAATTTTGAAATAATTTTAATGATGGATAAAATAATTGTACTGTATTTTAATTGATTGTTTGTTTTCTAAAGTAAAATAATTAAATATTAAATTTTTTATTGTTTTGTTTTCTATATGCGCAATCTAATTAAACCCTTGCCATTTGCCTCTGAGTCTTCGACAAGAAAATAAATACGTTATTTACCGTTTAGGTCGGTCCGGATAGAAAAATATTTTGTCTCGGTCTCAAAAACGTCCCTCGGCCTTCGGCCTCGGGCCGTTTTTGAGACCTCGACAAAATATTTTTCTATCCGGACCTCCCAGCCGGTAAATAACATATATATATTCTCACTTGGATTACAAACCCTAACATTCTAATATTAATTCCACCAAGTGAAGTGCAAGAATCTAAGTCATTGAAGTCCACCTTATCACAACCCGCACACCGGATTACCTATATATATACATGAACTTACGGTTACAGCTCAACAGCTGGCCTCTGTAGCTCAGTTGGTTAGAGCGCTGCACCGGAATCGCAGGGCCGTAGGTTCAATTCCTACCAGAAGACCTTGTGCTGCATTTTTCGCAGTCGATCCTGGTTAGGTCTTAAAATGTATATATTCTCACTTGGATTACAAGCCCTACATTCTAATATTAATTCCACCAAGTGAAGTGCAAGAATCTAAGTCATTGAAATCCAAACTTTAGTCTCGTACTTTCGTGGACTTTCTTTAGAAGCGGCTTACAGTTTGACGGGTTATCGAAATTCTTCATCACTGATTTCTACATAAGGCCGGTTTACCACCCCTGAAAATGGGCACCGTGCCAAAACCGCCACTTCGCTATTTACTCGTTTACACGACAACATTTTGTAGACACACTTTTATGATAGGCACCGTGCCCATCGGAAAACGGCACCTCTACTTTCCGTCTATGACGATATATTTTAAAGAATAAATATGTCGGACAAAAACAGAATTATATATTTATATTTATTGGAACGAAGAAGAGTATATATGAGCCGAAAATCGAGGGGGGAAACCAATTCAATACTAGAAAAGTACTTTAAGGGCCAGCTCATATGGGCAAAAGTTATCCCGGTTAGCGAGAAAACTTTTCGACAAGTTCACAAACGAGATCTTGCCTTGGTATGAAAATAATATGAAAAGTTACACTGCGTTCATATGAGACAAAAAGTTTTCCCGTGTACCGAGATCTCGCTTGTTGAAAAGCCAGATCTCGGTGACCGGGATAATGTTTTTCCCATATGCAAGAACACAACTTTACCGCTTAGCGGGATAACTTTCTGTCGTATCAGCATCTTTTCAATTCAATTGATATTCAGTGCGTGCCCATCGGAAAACGGCACCTCTATTTTCCGTTTACGACGGTATATTTTAAAGAATAAATATGCCGGCCAGAAATAGAATTATATATTTATATTTATTGGAACGAAGAAGAATATTATATGAGCCGAAAATCGAGGGAAAACCTAATTCAATACTAGGAACGTACTTTAAGGGCCAGTTCATATGGGCAAAAGTTATCCTGGTTTGTGAAAAAACTTTACAAGCGAGATCTCGCCTTAGTATGAAAATAATATGAAAAGTTAGTTTACACTGCGTTCATATAAGACAAAACGTTTTCCCGTGTACGTACCGAGGTTTCGCTTGTCAAGTGATAATGTTTTTCCCATATGAACACAACTCTAGTTCCCGCTTGGCAGGATAGCTTTCTGTCGTGTCAGTAACTTTTCAATTCAATTGATATTCAGTGCTATGTCACAGCCGGAAACTTTACCCGGTAAGCGGAATAACGTTTCTCCATGCATGTGAACAGAACAAAAGTATATTTGGCTAGTCGAAAAGTTTTCTCGTTAACCGGGATAACCCTTGCCCATATGAACGACAAAAGGAGTTGTTTTCTCGCATAAATGTTGTGCCATCTTGTATTCACCCGCCACCAGTGGCGCCGGCAAGGGGGGGCGAGGGGGGGCAGCCGCCCCCCCAATATTCTCCAGAGTGGGTTTTTGGATTTGTCCAAATCCGATGTCGTAGGGGGGGGGGGGTGCGGTGTGTAAATATTTGGTTGTCAAGTGTACGGTTGCGTGCAATGGCTAATGCGTAACTTGCGGTATCTACTAAACTTAATTAAAGGCTCTGACTAGTTGCCTTTTACTTATGCTCAACACAATTAAAATATCACGAGCGAGTGTCATAAGAAGTGTAAAACTTATTCGCCAATGACGTATGAAATATTACGTCGACCATGTGCTTACAGTGCTTGACACGTCAATCAGCATATTGACCTCCATTGAATTTCGTATCCGCACTTAAGATTCACGCACGCTATCTATTAACGCAAGTATACGTTATCATTTCGTCGAATTCGATGTGCAAGATCGTATGCCGAGAAAATACTCGAGATAGTAAATATTAATATTTATATTTAATATATAATATATAATTGAAAACTTCAAATCAACCATAAAATATTATATTAAAGAATAGATGCTACGAAGCGAAGACTGAATATAATAAGGGGTTTTCAGTATGCTTAATTTAAAATATGTATAGGCGTTAAACTATTAGTGAAAATGTCAACGCGCAAAACAGGAAATTCAAATGTGTTGCCATTACGTTAGATTAAATCTAGGCGAGGCAATAATATGATTATTTATCTAAAAATAATTTTTTATCAATGTTCCAACCCAACATTCATAAGTCCAATACGTGCATTAGGCCATTAGCATATTTTGCGCTTAAACAAAATCGCGTGAGTGGCACTACAGTTTATTCAGTTAATGTTCAGAATGGCCCAGTCACAGTCATTCGATCTTAGCACTTATGACTACGATCCTTCGTCCCCGATACCTTCCAATCGAGATGCGAGAAATTATGTTATATCAAAGGGTCCTTGTCAACCAAAAGATTTTACATTCCCAAGAAATAGCAATGGTAGGAGATTCCTTACAGCTTGGTATGAAAATTTCAAGTGGCTTGAATACTCTAAGAAGACAGACAGAGCATTTTGTTTCTTTTGTCGCACGTTCAATCGCCAGGTGAGATCTTTTATACCAACGGTAACTGGTCAAACTGGACCGATGTGGACTGTAACAGCTTATATTTTGCACGTCTCCTTTTAAAATTTTCGTAATTTTTATATAAATTATAGTATGATATAACTTTAATATCTTAAATTCATCAGTGCACAGTCAAATCAAATTCCCTTGTTGTAGATGTGCAGTAGGTCCGAGAAGGCGTTCATTACCGACGGATTTTCAAATTGGAAGAAACCGAAAACCTTTACGACGCACCAGAACAGCGATGGTCACAGACTTGCCTCCGAGGGATATTCAATCTGGCTGAAGCAGAAGCCGATCGACCAACAATTAAACGAACATGCTAAAATCCGGGCGAGTGAGAAAGAGATAGAGGTAATGTATGTAATGGCATTTTTTCAATCATAAGCGACATTTTAGCACTTTTATAGATGAAAATGCACGCATACGTATAGTTTGATATATTGCATGATTATTCCAAATTAATGTCCTTTTAAGGTGAAACGAAAACGTACAGTGATCGGGAGAATAATTGATGTTGTAAGGCTGCTTGGAAGACTGAACTTACCATTTAGAGGTCATCGGGAAAATCAAACATCCACGAACAAAGGCGTTTTCATAGAGATAATCGCGCACTTTTCCAAACATGATGCTATCATGGACTTCCATTTAAAGAATGCTAAAGGTTTGTGATTTAATTGGCTATACTGACAATTGTTTAGGCCAAATAACTTTAATTTAATGTTGTACTTTATTCGTGTAGCTGTTTTGTGCATTCCACAGCTCTTTGTGGAACTTTGCCAGAAACTTTGATTTAATTATTTGATTCCTGATTTATAAATATTCTTCATTCAAAAACTCTCTGTTAACTGGTTTACATGTCATGCGGTCATGCTAGGCTAAGTTAAAAGTATTCCGGCCTGCTTACATTACTAAAGAGTTCGTTGTAATATTTCTAAACAGAGCTACAGTGATAGGTCCGGTTAATTTCACCAGGCTGATTGACATAATCTGGTAAATCCAACCATGATCTTTCAGGATCACGGAGTTTGCAATCAATAACATATTATTTTAGTTTGATTTGAATGTTGTTATCTCAACAGATAATACAAAATACACAAGTCATCAAATCCAAAATGAAATGATTGATGTAATTGGGACGGCCATAACGGATGAGATTGTCCGACGGCTGAAGGAAGCTGAGTTTTTCGCTGTTATTGCTGACGAAACCCCAGATACAAGCCACAACGAACAATTTTCCATCACCGTACGCTATGTATATCAAGGAGATGTCGAAGAAAAGTTGTTGGCTCTCAGGATTGTAGATCAGACGACAAGTGAAATGCTCTTTGAAACACTCTGCGCTGTATTGAAATCCCACGACATAGACGTCACTCGTCTTAGAGGTCAATGCTACGATGGAGCAAGTAATGTTTCGGGCATACGGACAGGTCTTCAAGCGAGAATAAAAGAAATCTCCCCATCCGCCTTGTTCGTCCATTGCTATGCACACGTATTGAACCTAGTCATTGTCGATGCCATGACCAGCAACACCACTGCAAGAGATTTCTTTGGAACCCTTCAAAACTTGTACGTATTTATTCAAACATGCACGAAACGACATGCTGTTTACACCCAGCAGCAAGCCGAGATCCACGCAAGCAGTGGTTCTACGAAGAGTTTCCAAGTTCGTACACTGAAGAGCTTGTGCGAAACTCGTTGGGCCTGCCGAGCAAATGCGATCAACACATTCAATGCGACCATCGGGGCAATTGTAGGAACGTTGAAAATCATCCACGAAACTGAGACGAAGGCGAAGATTGCAGCTGAAGCAAAGGGTCTTTTGAGTAATATTGATTTTGAATTTGTTTTATCATTGAAAGTGAGTATACTTACAGTATATAAAGGACTTCATTTTCTAAGTACATTGCACTATATCGTATGGTTCGCATTGGGAAAACGACCATGAAAAGTTTTGTTTTCGGTTTTGAGTTGAAAACGTTCCGTATCATATATTTTGAGTTATATTTCTATTATTTGATACTTTTTCAGGTTCTCGACAAAGTACTTAACCTCAGCAAAGGTGTATCAGACAAACTACAATCAGAGGATCTCGACGTAGTGTCAGGTTGTGACCGGGTTGAAGATCTGCTTGTTGCCATAGAAGAACTTCGTACCGAGGACAAGTTCAAGACTTTCTGGATTGCCACTGTTGAAACATGTGAAGAGCTCAACATTGAAACTCCAATGGAGACGCGTCAAAGGAAGATACCGGTACGACTGGACGACCATCCTGAGACAGCTGTGCGGCTTGAACCTAAAGATACATTTAGAGTTGGGTTCTACTTTTCAGTAAGTATTTGTGCGAAACATTAATTTTATCTCTCACACACTGTTCGAAACTTTCTATCTGATCAGTATTAAATTGCAGATATCTTTAACTATACTACTGTTTTCACAGGTTCTTGATCTCATGATCAATTCAATCGAGACGAGGTACGATGCAGAAAACCGATCCATCTTACGGGGATTTGGATATCTTCATCCCAAACGCATCACGACGCCTGATTCTTTCGAGCATGTCAAACACGCCGCCGATTGGTTCGCAGATGACATCAACGCTGATGCTCTTGAACTGGAGATGAAATTAATTCGTTCTTCGAAGATGATCAAAGATATCCTGGCCAAGGAAACGAAAGAACGAAAGCCGTCTTTGGTTGATTTATACCGCGAACTTCTTCAAGAACCCGAATGCTTCCCCAATTTGTTAAAAATTATTAAGATTGCCCTTACTCTCCCTTTGACATCAGCATCTGCTGAGAGATCATTTTCCAAGCTGAGAATAATAAAAAATCGCCTGAGGTCGACGATGAGGCAAGATCGACTAGAATCGCTTATGCTCATGTCCGTGGAATCTGACATTTGTCGGGGCCTCGACATCGAAGGACTCGTTGAACGATTTACCGACGCAGCTCCCCGAAGATGGAACTTGTACTAAATATGTATTATAACATTAAATTCTTCATTTCATACTTGGTTTTATTAAAAATACATTTGATTCATATATTGTATGGAAATCATTTATGTTGCGATCTACAAAAAAGTGATTTATTAAAACCTTTATGTTTCTCTTAAAGTGCCTCCAAAACGCAGGAAATGCGGTTTTAGACACCCAAAATTCAAAATTTTCTCGGGGGGGCATACCCCCGAACCCCCCTAGAAGGCTTGTGCCTTCGGCACTCGGATTTGCCCCCCCAAAAATATATCCTGCCGGCGCCACTGCCCGCCACGAATTCGAGAGGTATGGACGCATCGAACGACAGCTACTGTATTTGCTATACGGCCTAGTTACTGCTCTCTTCAGCGACGAACAGTGGTATCAAAATTTCCGAGTCAACTAGAGCAACATTCACATTCTGTGTTAAATTTGTTTTTTAACTTTGTTTTTTTTTTAATTTTTGGCAAGTTGTTGTTTTTCGCCGCTTGCTGCCATGTTGGAAAGAGGACAATTTGTTTTGCGCATGCTCGATGTCAAACACATTTTTTAGTTTTTTCGAAATTTGGGCACGGCACCCCTTGCTAGACGTGCCGAGACTACCTCGTGAGAAAGTCTCGGCACGTTTAAATTTTGCGGCACCGGTGCCGATTTTTGTCATGTTTACACGCCAAAAGGCAGAGGTGCCGTGCCTAAAATTTTGGGCACGGGTGCCCATTTTTAGGGGTGCCGTGCCCAAAACACTGGTCGTGTAAACCGGCCTATAGTTCTTGCCCAGCACGTTACCAATTCTGATTGAAGTTGAGAAGTTTTTAATCGCATTTAAAAAGTCAAAATTTTGTAATGCACTTTATGCCTTTCTGCAACTTTACCCCTACTTTTGAAACAATGTTCGCTCTGTATACAGTTACAAATATAAATGAATTGATTTTGTTCCTATTGATACAGACACAATATTAGACTTGCCCAAGTCGCTCGCTAGGGACCGCGCGTAGCAAGAAGGGAGCGCTTGAGAAAGACGGAAGCGAGCGACTTGTGTCACTTGCCTGATTTTGAATCTTACTGAAAAATTTGGCACGAAAATCAATTATGACATAGTGGGCGTTCATCATGTCGATTTCACTAGTTCATTATTGTTTTGGCGTCGTTAGTACAGAATAATAATAGGGAGCTTAAGCATGTAGGACGGCAACACGACGACGACGGCAACCAATACAATGAGTCAATGAAAAGTGAATAAATAATTAAAGTCCCAGGGGAGTTTCAGACGTGGTCGTCGCTCTGTTTACAACGGCAAATCACAGATTTTCACGTCTTTTATACAACGCCTGCATTTCAAGCCGTAACAAGTGCAACTTAAAATTCGGTCAGTAGAACTCTTCCCAAACATAAAGTCAATGTTTTCAGCTTCTTATACTGTATTAAGTTCATACGAATTATAATATACGACAAGTTTTCTTTACTATCATTTATTTGAAGGAATTTGTTTTGGCCGTCGTCCTCGTGTTGCCGTCTTGCATGCTTAAGCTCCCTAATGAGCATGCACTGGTGTGATTTGGCGCGCTTGCGGGTGACAAAGGTCCGTCGCTTCCAAGAACCACAAACCGCGGACTTTGGAAAGTCTAACATAATATCAGTTTAACGAGAAACTATTACAAGTGAGCTAATTGTAACTGGAGGTCTCCTGCCGGAGGTTAATCCATTGAGCGCCAGTGCTCTCCCTTGATGTGTAAAATTGTCTACTACTGAATTATGTGGCAGTTTTGCAGCGCATAAACTCATTAAACTTCAAAACAAGTTGTATATACAGTACTGTGCTGATGACAAAAATGGAAACAATTAAGCAATATATTATTGTATTATGGCGTTACAATACATATAGTTAAGTTAACTACATTGCATACATGTTAAATACATTGCAAATACACCAGCCCCCCCCCCCCCTAAAATGTGGCAATAATGAGGCGGGGTAAAGGCCCGCGCGGGCGAAGCGTTTATTGTTTTTGAAGGCCGTCACGCCCGCGTGAGCAGATTTTCAAAGCCCGCTCCGCCCGCGCGGGCAAAGCGACTGCAATGGAAAATTACCTTAAAGGTGTCGTCGTGTGGGCTTTCGGCACACTCCTGCAGCAGCTGGTGATGACACCAACTCAACTTGGTTATCTAATTCAGTTGCCTGGTAAACTGGGCCATTTTCAGACATGCCACAGGTCATGCTTTACTAGGGAGCCTTATACAGCAGCGACTACGAGTACGACAGCGAGATTTGAGCGCGTGCGAGGAAGTACATGCAGTCGCTCTCATTTCGGTTGAAATTACATTAACACTAAATAAACGACCAGAAACAAAGTTTCCACCTAAATCTCATGGAGGATAAAATCCCCTACAAAACTAGCCCCTTCTGTGAGCAATAATACATGAATTAAGTGCAAAAAAGTAAGGAATAAGTGGGGTTAAAAACAAGCCAGATATTTATAGTATTAAATAGATTATTTGTCATTTTGTCGCAACTCCATGCACATTTATTTCAGGATTTTCTGTTTGATACACTTCGTGAAAACGTTGATTTCAATATGTAATATTTTTTTAAATATTCAAGCTATAGGATACAAAGTCTTCATCGAGAACGTAAAGCCATATCCCACAGAAGTATACCAATTTTGAAGTTAGGAGTTCTGACCATGCTTGTCGACGTTCCTGGTTTCACGCGCTCACCCACGATTGATGGAGCTCAAAATTTCCGATATAATTTACGCTTCCGCTTTCCAAAAATGCGGACTACGAGATTTCTCCAAAATTTCGTACTCTGGTGGGCGACAACTATACGACTTTTTCTCGTCAGTACAGGATGGCGCAAGCATATATACGCTATTTACTCGCTGGGGCACCTGTGCCCCGGACGAGTATAGGTTTCGGCTCGCATTTTTCTCCGATAGTGGATCGAAGATCGATAGCCACAAAATAGAATATTAATGAGCTACCTAATTTTTACCCAAATTGTCCATAAAGCTCCTGTGGCTCCTGCCAATTTTTACCCAAATTATCCATAAATAACGCTGCGTTTTGAGGAAAATTCGGAAAAATTGAAAAATTTTACAAGGAATTTCGACATGGAAACAGCAACCTTCGCAAATCGCAAGTTACGTTTGGCTGCGCTGCTTTATATTTTGAGAAGAAAGCGACACCGTACCGTTCGATTCAGCGTAAGAAATTGTACTTACGGATGTCAAGTGTATTACTAAACACCAGTGTTCTAGCGATTTATGGCCTTTGGAAATCAGGCGACGTATTGGTTGAGAAATCACTCCCAGTACGTTTCATAGTGTATTTGTAATGCCTAAATGGTGCAATAAGGATAAAAATACCACCGTTCGATTTCAGGGTTAGAAATTGTACTAAATACGGATGTCAAATGTACAGCATTACTAAACAACAGTATTCCAGCGATTTATGGCCTTTGTCTTTGAAAGCCAAGCGAAATTGTATTGTTGACAAATCGCTCAAAATTATTAAACTAATTATAAAAAAATGCAGTATGTTTGATCCTTGATAACTTTGGTATCATTGGTTTTCTCTTTTTCGGCCATATACCAGTGGATTCGTCTCACTTCTCTCTTCATTTTGATAGTATTTTGAGCCCGAAGAAAAACAACAAATTTTCAAAAAGAACAACAACAAATTGTCGCGCCAATTTTTGCAAGTAACATTCGAAATGCTGCAAATGTCCCAAGTCCGTCTCTCCCTACTTTTCTCCTGAGACGGACTTCGACCAAGTCTAGTATAGCCCCAGCGAGTTAACGCTCCGTAGAGCGTCTTGTTCAATTAAGGTTGTCCACGAGCAAAGCGGAAAAGTCGAATACGAGCGCGAAAGGCTGCTGGGAATCGCTAACAAATTAACGAATTTTCAAAGCGATTCCCAGCAGCCTTTCGCGCTCGTACTCAACTCTTCCGCTTTGCTCGTGGACAACCTGAATTGAAATAGCTGTATACAGGTAAGTAGGTATAGGTAACAACAAAAGCTGAATCCCAAAAGGGGCGTAGAGAATATTACATTAAAAACTTTATAAATTACAAACGTTAAATTACAAACATTACAATGAATACAAATAAGGTGATTAATATATAAGCAGATACTTTAAGACAAAGAAGACGAACAATCAGAATATTAATTATAATAACTAATTGACTTAACCGGCCAGATGTCGTAATACTTGAATTAAAGGTAGGACTGAGAGATTCCTTATTCCTTAATTCATCTGAGAGGTTGTTCCACAATTTTGTCCCTCTGTAAGACTTTTTTTTAGATATCCAGTCTTAGGATTGGGCAAATATAGTAGTTAGTGGAAGACCCTCGTATAAGTTGTTATATTGAGAGGAAGAAGTCCTTTGAAAAATATCAATTAGCGTTTTTGGTGCCAAACCATGGGTAAATTTAATTATATACATCAAACTCGCTACAAACTGAGTTTTGCGTTCACTCAATAGCTTCCATCCCAGTTCATTTAAAGCAAGTTCAGATTAGCCATGTTCGTTTTTACGATCCATTATAACTCTGGCAGCCGTATTTTGTAATCTTTGCAGACGATCCGTACTCGTATACTCGCTGCTATAAAGCTCTCTATTCGGACCAAGAATGCAAATAAAATTCAAGAAAAATGATCCTAAAAAGCTCCTTGATGGACTATGTTTTAATTTTCTAATATTTTCAGAGTAAACGGTCGATTCCTACCATGCATATAAAATGCATATCTTGCAAAATATTTTACATTTGGTATTTTATAATTAGAGAGCTTTAGATTTGACTACGAGTACAACTACGTACGAGTACGAGATCCGTCCTTTTTGCGCGAAACACACGCCATATGCTTACACCATCCTGCACTGACACGAAAAAGCGAAGAAAGTATTTGTTATAGCGGCCTAGCGTTTATCCGGCAACATTTCTTGAAAGCGGAAGCTTGAGGTACTCGACACAGTTTTTAGAAAAAGGGGAAATTCACGATCCCCCAAATTTTATTCCATAAAAATGATTTCTTTTAGCATACTCAATTGTTTTCATGACAAATTCTGGTGAGCCCAAAAACATTTGATTGTGAATAATCACATTTACATAATTTTAAACATTATTTTTGGCTCAACAGAATTTTTTTTAAATTGTCTACATAATGGAATATTACGATGGCCGAGAAGGGCCATGACTGTAAACACTCGCCGTTTTTTACCATTACACTCGTCGTTTTCTTCCCTTCAAAATTACACTCGCCGTTTTTTTCGTCAGAATTACACGCGACGTTTTTTTCAAATTTCAATGCAACCATTACACGCGACCGTTTTTCAATGCAATAATTCCACGCGACGTTTTTCCCAACAATTACACTCGCCGTTTTTTTCAGAGTTACGTTTTAAACTGAGAGTTTCATTTCGGGTGAAGATGGGAGCAATCATAACTGGTTAGTGTGTTTCATCACAACAAGAAATCATGTAAATACAGTACAAAATTTCACTTTTCAGTCGGTTAATTATCAATATAATGCATTGTTTTCTTTTGTGTTTTCCAAACTATATAAACAAAAGCTTTGTGTGTTTTACCGGAGTCGTATATTTATTTTCCTTGTTGCACTTCTTCATATATAAACTGTGTCTTGCCATATCGTATATACGCCTGCAACTCGCCTGCAGTAGTAAATTAAAATCTGGTGTTTGAAGTTTACGTTTGAAGTTTACGTTTGGCGTATAAATTTTACGCTTTAACCAGGGCTCTTATATACTATAATATAGCACCCTGGCTTTAACGACTACAAGCCTTCGTAACAGTTTAAGCACAAAATTTATGCGCCAAACCTAAACTTCAAATGCTAAATCTTAATATACTGCTTTGGTGAATACATGACTATAGCCGTGGTTAATTTGTTTTCTTGAATCATTGTTAAATACCACAAATTCAGTAATTGTTTAATATATTTCAAAACTGGTGTAAAAGCTGTTATAATAGAGTTGTAAAATCACAAACTTCGTTAGCTGTTTGACGTTGGCCGTAAATGTCAATCTAAAACTCTCTATTATGTGAAGAGGTTATATTTCGCTGGCCTCAGAGTGACAAAACGTACCCTAATCCTGTCCCTAACCTAACCGAAAAGTTTCGACGAAATGTCATTCTGAGGTCAGCGAAATAACTTCTTCCATGTGGCAGTGGGATATATAGCAACTCTCAAATACACAAAGATTTTGTTTAGTTTGGAAAACACAATAGAAAACAATGCATTATATTGATAATTAACCGACTGAAAAGTGAAATTTTGTACTGTATTTACATGATTTTTTGTTGTGATGAAACACACTAACCTTATGATTGCTCCCATCTTCATCCGAAGTGAAACCCTCAGTTTAACGTAACTCTAAAAAAACGGCAAGTGTAATTTTTGGAAAAAACGTCGCGTGTAATTATTGCATTGAAAAAACGTCGCGTGTAATTATAATATTGCATTGAAAAAACGTCGCGTGTAATTCTGAAGAAAAAAACGGCGAGTGTAATAGTTGAAGGGAAAAAAACGAAGAGTGTAATGCCTAATGTTAAAAAAACGGCGAGTGTTTACAGTCATGGCCCTTCTCGACCATCGTAGAATATAGCTACTATTAACTATATGGGAAATCATTTTATGAAATAAAATTTAGTGGTCACCGATATCGTTTACGAGTTAAATTACTTTAAAGCCAAAATATCCACCATTGTTACCATAGCAACGGCAGTTGTGTAACTTTTGTGAAAAAAGTCAAACCCTTTAGATGTCGTTTCTCCAAAAATACGGATCTCAATCGTGAATTAGTTCCATTTTTAAAAAACTGTATCGAGCCACATACCTCGATTATGAAATTCTAGCTTCAAAATTTTTATGTTCTCAATGAATACTTTGTATCCTTTGATATTTGAAGAAAAATTAATCGGCATTTTAGCGAAGCTAATAGCTATATAGTGTAAACCTAAAATTCTGAAATAAAATTTCCGACGAAATGATATATTTATTATAAATATGAATTTATTATAAATCGTGTATATTATGTTCCTCGTAGAAGGGGCTAGTATTGTAGGGGATTATAGCTTACAGGAGATTTAGTTAGAAACATTATTTCTCGTTGTTTGTTTTATTACTGCTAACGACTATACGACTTTCACACACGCCATCGAATCTCGTAGCAGTAGTCTCGTAATCAATTGCTGTATTGGGTTGTAGACAATAATCTCTGCGATCGCCTTTTGGACGATGTTTATTTACGTTTCGTTAGAGCATGCGCAGGAGAGCTAAGATGGCGTGCGAAGGAAAACAGTGTTTTACCTAAATCTACTATTTTGTAATTTTCCATATATTTTGATAATTAAAGTGAGTTGAAACCTGTTTTCGGCCCCATTTACTGGCAATCCCAGTACAGTAAAACACTAACGTTCGCTGTGGCATTCCAGAATTGTGAAGAAGCCTAAATACAAAAGAGTTTTGCAGCCCATAAACTTGTGTATTGCTTGAAGACAAATCCAGGAATCAGCCATGAATGTTGAAGATAAAAAACAAGAAAGAAGCAAGGCTAAAATGGCGGTCACTGTCGCTGCGAGGCGTCTGATCGGAGCCTACAACAGAGATTGTGAATATGATATTTTAAAGAATTCGATGTTCGAACTTGAAAAGGTATTTGATGATTTTTGCGTTATAAATGAGGAATACGAACTCACTGTATCTGACGAAAAATACGCTGAACACCGTGTAGTTAATGGTGAAGACATTATGACTTACAGAGACAATGTAAAAAGGTGCTATGAAGAAGCTAGGAGTGTATTTGTTAGTGTAAAGACAACAATCGAACAAAAAGCTAGACAACAAAGTGCTGGGCCTGTCAAAGTTGCCCTAAAGAATGACATTTGTAGAATTCATGAACTAATCACAGTCGTTGATGAGAGTTTCAAACTGGAAAATGTGAATATGGCAGCTTTACAACTAGATAAGAATGATCTACAGTCAATTTTGAACATAATATGTGATAACATGGCAAAACTTGGCTCGATTGAAACACAAGAGCAAGTTAACCTAATCCAAGAAGAAGTCGATGCTATTATCAGAGCAGTTTACAATTGCATCAGAAAGATAAACTTGTTTTTGCATGAGCAACAAGCATTTGTTAAATCATTACACATTGAAACTGCCACTCTCCCCTCTGAAACCAACATTCCCCCTGAGAACATCAACACCGTATTCCCCCCGGAGATCAACACCAACATCCCCCCTGAGGACACTGAGACCATCAACACCATGTCTCCCCCCGGAAATCAACACCAACACCCCCCTGAGAACACTGAGACCATCAACACCATGTCTCCCCCCGGAAATCAACACCAACACCCCCCTGAGACCATCAACACCATGACCCCCCCGGATATCAACACCCCCCCTGAGACCATCAGCACCACTTCCCCCTCGGCAATCAACAGCAATATCCCCCCTGAGCCCATTTATACTGCAACCCACCCTGAAATTATTGACACCCCTGCTATCGAGACCAACACAATTCCACCTTTGTTGCCAATTAACGCTTCCCCCATTAATTACTCCAGTCCCTTTGGCACCCAAGTTACCACCAACATTACAAAGGCCAACACCCCCCTACCAACCTTACCTGGGACCAGTACAGGTTTTTGCTTGAATACATCAGCTCAAACCTTCATTCCCTCTACCACCTTTCATTCGGAAAGCAGTTCCACATCGGGACAAACGCATTTGTCTCAGCAATGTCAGAATCCTACAAATTTATCAACAGGTTTCCCTGCATTTGCAATGCCAATGGGATCAAATCTGCCAAGAGTGGCATCCAGCTATTATAGCAACCACAATCAGTCCAGGAGCAATTTGTCAACCAGTCCTATGTATACAACCCCATCTGGACATCAACCCACAGTCCCGCTGATTAATACAAGACCTTCCCACCAAGATTCCACCATTCGGCTAAAAAGGATGGCCCTACCCACATTCTCCGGACTTAGGAAAGACTGGCCAGAGTTCAAGGCAGTCTGGAAGTCTATGGCTGAGTCTGCAAGTTATAATAAAACTGCATTAGCACACGAACTTAAGAACTCAGTTAAAGGAGAAGCCAAACACCGTATCAAATCTGTTTTTGTCACCAAGCCCGAAGCTTACGACATCATGTGGGAAAAGCTAGAGTGTCACTATGGAGATACCACTGCCAGTGTACAAGCTGCTTTGGAAGATCTTCAAAGGCTAAAACCTGTAAAAGAAGAAGATTATAAAGCTCTGGTTGAATTAGTTGATGAAGTTGAATCTGCCTACAGTCAATTGGAAGAGCTCAACCAGCTAAACACTTTAACCATGCGAGATGTAGACAACCTAACTGATTTGTTACCTATCCATCTTAAAGTCGACTGGAGACGAAAGTATCGTGATTTATCGTCTGCCGAGAAGCTTCAACCATTTACTCCGCTAATGAAGTTCCTAGACAGAGAACGTTCAGTTGTGGCTCGTTTAGCAGAGAATCAGCATTCTAAGAAAAGAGAAAATGACAATGCAAGAGGATACAGCAAAACCTATCATGTTGAAAGAGGTGCAAAACACGGACAAAGAACCTACTACAAGTGTGCCTTCCCCACCCACAGAAAAGACACCATAAATCACACCACCGAACAGTGCAAAGA